ATATATAAAATACATATATATGTAATAATGATGTAAAATCTACTAGTGAGAATTAACTAGAAAGTGTTAGTCCGTTTGATTAGTTTCTGACAGATGCAATTTCCCGAACGCTTTCAGCGAAATCTACAAACTCGTTGAAGTTGCATCACGGTCTGCAAATTTATTTTATGCGCCGAGAAATCTTCATAAGTGCTACGAGAGCGCGATTTCGCGTAAGGAGCTGTAGCATCTCTCAAGGCAGTAGTTACGCCCCGAGTTGCGCCAGTTGATAGGCACGTCGAACTTCTCCGTTTCTGGAGGAACGAACGGTTAATCACCGTGGCGAAGTATAATCAGCGGTTGTGTGTAGCGCACTCTATCACTGCACGCGTTTGTGCGCGGGTAGGTACTACACGGATCGAAAGTGCATAATGTATCGGCGAGAGTGATGTCGGGATAAACCCGCCATTACCAGCTCAGAAACTACAAACTCCTCGTAGTATCTCTCGTAGTTGAGAGCAGTTAGCATACTTTCCAAGTGGGGTTTACTGCCAGCGAGGGGGAGGCGAACCTCACTACACACACACACACACACACACACACACACACCGTTCCTTAGACAAGAGCTCGAGTAATTATTCGACGTACGGCCGTGCAAACCAATTGCATCGACCGATGCAATTGGTTAGTTGACGCTTTTTCCGCGCTGGCTACGAAACGCAGACGAGTTCGACGGCGATAATCCGATTTGATCGGCGCCACGGATTTTTGCGCTCGTGCTCCATCGGATTCCAGAATTGATCGCGCCTCACCGAAGAGGCAGGCTCGCGGAGCGAGATCATTCCTTAAGCAACCCGAAAAATGCGTCAGATACTTTTTCGCGAATGAATTACCAAGTCGTCGTCGGTTAAACGCTGATACGCTCAGCGGAATCGTATATTCGCGTCGTCCGTTCAATCGGGAAATCGCTTTCAGAAGGTAATCCTGCAGTTGGTCTACCCTCGTTTCTTTCCGTCGGAGCAAAAGATCTCCGCACTTCACTCGGAAGGAGGGCTTATCTCGATTTATGATTCATAATAGACTGAGTTCTACAATCAAAGGGCAAGTTACGTTCAACGGAGGAACAGTTCTACTGTGGAAATTGGTGTTTCTTGCAAGCCACTCGAGAAAGATTTCCGCTTCCGAAAGATTGGATCAAACTCATGTTTAAAGAAGAGATGCAAAAATCACCCAGTATTCCTCCCCGTCGAGATGTCTCGAGTACAGCAGCTAGGCTATCTCTCGCAGATAATATTCGCAGAGTGCATGAGTGCACTTTCCAGAACGACGCCGTGACACTCCTGTTTCAGCGGATTTTAAAGCGCGACCGCATCGCGGTGATGCAGCCGCGCGAGATGAAATCGATAGACACGTCCCTGAACGACGCCACGGAGGAAAGGGGGGACGCGTTCGTCTCTCTCTCTCTCTCTCTCTCTCTCTCTCTCTCTCCTCGTCTTCGTCCCGTGATGACGGAATCATCGAGACGACACGCTGCTGATCCCGCAGAGACGCAGGGTGGAAGAGAGGTAGACAAAGAGGAGGATGTTGAGAGTGCGAAGGGGAGAAAGAAAAGGGGACAGAGAGAGAGAGAGAGAGAGAGAGAGAACGAGCGAGAGAGAGAAAGAGAGGGAGAGAGAGAGAGAAAAAGCAAGTGTGGAGAGAGGCACAATGCTGCGGCGCGACAAACAAGAGTGGCGCTAGATACGGTCCTGGACCGGGACCGGAGGTTTGCGTCCCCCCTTTTGGTCGTCTCCGACCTTTGTAGTCCTTATCTATTCTCGCGTATCTCCTCGATCCTTCCCCTCCTGCATGATCTCCGCACTCGGTATCCCGCCGGTATTCGCGACAGCGGGAGAAACGCGCACGAGTGCGCGGTACGTACGTTCGTGAGTGCACGCGGGGCGCGAGGGTGAGGAGTACGCAACGTACTGCTACACCCCAAAATCTGATCGATCCATCCGCGGCACGAGTTCCACGCGAGCCCCGCCTCCTCGCAAATTGTACGATGACGTTCGATAATTCGATCATCACCCGTTTATCTACGTGTACCGCATGAATCGAGTAATCGCTATTTACAGCATCCCCTCCCCTCCCCTCCCCTCCCCCCTTCCTCCCCTCCTGACAGCATCTTCCTCTCGGAGCCTCGACCTGATATCTCGATAGCCGCCATCTGTTTCACGGATCCGCGTCACAGTGTTGGAAATGTGTGTTTTTTTTTATATATATTTTTTTTGTATTTTTTTTTTAAACCGCAACGACACAAGCCGCGGGATCGTCCCCCGTGAACGAGGCTTACCGGTAATGCCTAGTAGGATCCAGCACACGAGGCACAGGACGTAGTAGTTGACGTAGGAGGACCTCCTCATGATGATCACGACGACGACGACAACAACAACGGCGACGACGACGACGGCGGCGTAACTGTCCCCGATAACGGGTCCACTGACATCTCATGGAACACCGCGACGCACCTCTTTCTCTCGGCGCTCCTCCACTTAATAATCCTCCGTCGCCGTCCCGTTCATCCTCCAACAGCAGCCGGTGCTACCAGGACCCGCGCATACTCCCGCGTTACCCGTCGTTGCAACCCTCTCGTTGCAACCCCCCCGTTGCGCTCTTGTTGTGCATCCACCGATTTTCCTCTACTCTCGTGTTTCCCCGACCTTCTTCCCTTCTCTCTTTCCTCCTTTCGGACACTCCGGCGTATATCACATTATCTCGCTGTTGAATACTCGCGCATCGCGAGCGACGGAGAAAACGAGAAGGCCGAGGTGCGAGGCGCTACTCTAATTTGTGGGCGGTCTCGCGCGCGGTCTTTCACCGTAACACCTTCTTGTACTAAGCCCCGGTTGCCAAGAGATTCGCAGCCGATAAGATTTCTCTCTATTACTCCCGTAGAAGACGTAAAGTGTCGCGCGCACCAAGGTCACGAAGCGGTCTGCCTGCGTTCAATCGTGGGCCACCCCCTCCCCACCTCCCTTTCTTTTATCCCGCGGCTGTACCCCTCGTCGTACTCGGACGCGCGGTATACTCGGTGTGGATCGGTCGGTCGTACTGTGAAACGCGACCGGGTTTCCCGTACTCGGCTCGTCCGCGGTTCGTCGTCCCGGGCGAAGCTCTGAAACCGCCGGGCCTCCGGTGGCACTGCCCGCGCCCGCCCGGGGATTCCGCGCAGGCGTGCTCTCTCTTTCCTCTACTCCGGCGGCGATCAGTCAGCCTCCTCCTTCCTCGAGGCCTTCTGCCTTTTCCGCCGCGCGCCTTCTCTCCATCCCCAGCGTTTTCATCCTACGGCTTTGCGCGCTCCGCTCCGCTCCGCTCCGCTTTGCTTCACGTCGCGTCGCGCCACGTCGCGCAGCTCTGCCGTTCCGAATTTTTCTTCATGCATTCCGCGTCCTCGTCTCCGTCGCATTTCTCGCCTGACCTCTCTCCATCTCTTTCTTTCTTTCTTTCTTTCTTTCTTTCTTTCTTCTATACCGCCGGCAGCCGGCTTCCTATGCGTGTCCTACGCGGCGACAAGCAATTGCTCCGCAATTGCTACTCGTCCCGCAAGCACGGATAAATTTCACGCTTCTTACACGACATCGTCGTCTCCCCTTTCTCCTCGCCTCGGCGAGGGTTGAATGGCACGCGACCTCGGACTTCGCGTCTCCTGTCTCCTGTCAACCGTCTAAGGAAACTTTAAACATCGCGTACCATCCGTAACCGCGTGTCAGGTTGCGCCCTGGAGCGGGTTTCCCAACCCGCCACGATCATCACGCGCTCGTTAATAATCATTAAAGAGCTTCGGTGCTCCGTAATTGCCTTCATCGCCTTAATTTCCATATTTTATTTTCTCTCTGAATTTCTCCGTACTTGGACGGAGCAGACTCCATAATTTCAAATATCGGCGTCGTCTTATCTCTCTAACGTCGCTCTCGTTATACAGTTTTGCAACGTGCAGATTTCAACCGCGGCACGATCTCGTCTTAATGAATTTTTCGACATTTTCCCTTCCTTACTCTCGATTTTCTCAATCTCTCGCGAACGTATAATATCTAACGTTTAACCCTTGGACTCGCTCTCTCTCGGGGTTTCCCAATATTTATGCGAGTGAAAAGTCTCTCGCGTTAAAGCAGCTCTTTCGCAAAGCGCGAAATGAGTAATGAGAAAGGGATCTCTTTACCGGATGAGATACAAATGATGTTCGCGCATTCTTGAGAATATAATTACATTTGTAGCAAATTTTGTGGCAAATTAAATTTTTAACAAAAGTATTCTGTATAATTGGATATGTATTCATACACTACGTTAAACAATGTTTCGCGGATATTGTAGCTCAGCTACTTATGCAATATGCAATTGTTGAAATTGAAGTAGACCGGCTGGAACGGAATGGCGGAAATGTATTTGGAGTCCTTCGTCCCACCATGGAAATCCAGCGCGCTTCATCGTGGACAAATGTTAAGCCGCTTTACGGTTATGAATCTTATCCCCGGAGACTGATGTGGCAGTGGGCTCGGTTATTTAATAGGAAAAAAAGAAAAAAATACCAGCCGTCGCGCCTTTTGTTCGTGCTCTCCTTCAACACAACGGACCGTTCCGTATCTGCACCGCTCTCGCTCTTCGAGACATTTAGACAATACAACGCGTCCCTGATCTTGTTTCGCTTTAATTCAACTGACAAAAGTTTAATAGTTCTAAAAATTTCTCACCCTTTTACTATTCTATTCTTTATATTATATAATCGGTATTACACCCTCACATTGCATCCGATATTTTTATATATTCTACTTACGTTTTCAACAAATAATTACTCTTGTTAAACAGAATAGCTAAACGGATAAATAAATATTTATAATTCGCCGATTCTACGGAATCTCTATTTCGATTGACGTCCATTATTTACGACAACGAGGTTTTCTGCTTGACGTTATCTAGACGAATATCGTTACCAACTTTCGTGTTCGCTCGCCGAAATTAACCGCCATCGTCTTCGGAAGTAAGTTTTCGTATCACCCCGAGTTCACGGGGCACCGACGTAATTTGCATGAACGACGGTATTTGGTAAATTGTATAACTTTTCTTCTTGATGATCGACTGATCTCATTTGTATCCCTGTTTCTATTTTCTTATTCCCTCATCTACACGTGCTTTTTATTTATACATATGTATACATATATGTTTGGAAAATTACGCTACACCTTCGTTTTCTTTTCTTCATTTCGCATAAACGTTATTTAATCGAAAGAAGCAAATGTACAAGAATATCTCATGCAAGATATAGTTTACAACAAAATCAGCATATGAATGTCAGGTGCAGGTAATTTGTGCGTAAGATTCATATATATTTAATATTTAAATTAAAATCTCGAACGTTTCGGCTCTATAATTCGCCGATCCTCAGCGAATAATCATTATAGCTTCCTGCTCTCGGATCAGAATCGAGTCACTTTAGATGCCATTTTTAATATAATAACCCATCGTAATTTGTAATTATTACGAATTATTAAGAATGGCGCCAGACTGACGACTTGGCGTTAATTAATACGTGGAAGCATGGGAATGATTATACGTTGAGAATGACACGAATTGTAGCCGCAATATTCGAGATTTTAATTTAAGCATTAAATGTATATGATCTTGCGCACGAATACAGTGTATAATTCTCATTTACTGATTTTGTTACAAATATTTTAAATATCAAGAGTCCATTTACTCTCTCTTTCCTCATCCGTCATATGGATAAAATAAAATTATTTATGTCAATATCGCTCTATTGTTATTTAAAACAGCAACTACAGAGTACCGCCAGATAAATAATAATAGCAGCTTTTTTCTATGAGATCAAACAACGCCATGGGATTACCTGGTTGTCGATCGAAGCAGACGAAAACCGATCGGCTGTTCGCTCACCTTTTATGGCCCTTCGCTTTACCTTCAGGCAAAGCGAAGGGTCGTGTCACCGATGGTGAGTTCTACGCTTTTCATGATGCATCGACCTGACTGGGTTCAACGTTAACGTTGATCGGCTTCGGAACTATGCATCTCTCGACCGTTGGGTTATGCCGATGAACTTTACACACGACAAACTGTCGCGGAATCGACAAAAAGCGCGGCAGCTGATCATTCTCGCGCGAGCCGATTATTCATTTTTTATCAGTACGTTCTATTCTCTCTCTCACTTTTTCCCCATCTTCTCTCGCTTGGACATTCCGCTTTTGTGTCGCTTTTGAAACACTGAAACTTTCAGACGTGCCGCGCGCTAAACTCGTCCCTCTTGTGAGAGAGAATTAACGGCGCGACGTTATAGGCGACGGTGAAGGGACCCGAGGGGGCCATTAATAAAACGTCATTTACTCTTAAACGATTTTCCGGCTTTCCCTCTTGTGCTTGCGACAATTCCACCGTCGTAGAGGATAAGCTATGCGCGACGATTCAAATTCCCGGTTACTAATTCCGAAGTTGGCGGGAAGAAAATATTCCGATTTCGTTGCATTTCCGTCATAATTAGAGACTTTCAAGGAAGAATCTGGTCACGCGATAGTTTTTTTCGCGAGACCAGAAATATGGCGGCAATGACTGTACAGAAAGAATGGTTTTACTGGAATAGCTAAAATTTTAGCTGAATACAAATCTAAAAATAATTGTGTCAGATCATGATAATAATTAAGTAGGGCGTTCAAATTGTGAGAATATAAAAATTTTGTGCACCATTACTCGTCACGCTTGAGATTTCTACAAAATTATTTTCAGTTCAATAAAATTATTTTCAAATCTAATTAAGTATTTCAGCAAAATTGTTCTTTTCGCGTATCGCAGAGTGCATAGAATAAACAACGTGAATCTACATAATTTATTATAGTCTACAATGCAGAATCAAATGTCGTCGCCATGTTTGTCTTATGATCAGACTCTTACTCGAGGGTCTTACTTGAGCTTGAGGATCCTCTAGTCCTTAACAACCTTTGCTTCGTGCATTACACCGCATACAAACGAAAATACCGGTAGTCTAGACATGAGCAAGAGGTAGCTATTCCACCGGAACACAAGCTAGCCCAAGGTATTATAACGTCAAAGTAATGTCAAAATGGCTTCAAAATGATTTCTAAAAGTTACTCTTCTTGAAATAAATCGTAACTAAAGAACCAGTTAGGTTACGATTTACCTTTAATGTCATTTCAACATTGTTTTTTTGGGATGGCGTTAGATAGAACTAATGCGCACTCAATGTGCATTTTAAAACCGTTATATACAAATCGACGTAAAATATACGTTTAATAAAAATATAGAAATGAATTAAACCGCGAAATATTCAATGCATTTCATTGTGCTATTTGATAAAATGTACATTGGATATTTTATCGATTGAGATATCTCACTTTTATACATTTAGATTAGAATAATGTACACTGAGTGCGCACTAGTTCTGCCAATTAAAAACGCTGAGTCAAGATATGAAACAACTACTTTTGATTGATCTGCCATGTTTTAACAACTTCTGAGAGAGAGAGAGAGAGAGAGAGAGAGAGAGAGAGAAAGTGATAAGAAAAAGATAGAAGAGAAAGAGAAGGAAGTAAATATATGTCCTTCTCTCTCTGTGTGATTTTGCTAAAACTAGAGACCCTACATATAAAACTCTCGTGTCCAGACTTTGATAATATAGGGTCTCTAATCTGGATTATAGATATTTTCGTTTATACGGTGTACGACACACGAAGCGAAGGTTCTTATGCGTATGTATAAATGGATATGTGTATAATATAAAGGGGGTTTCTATTGTAGAGAGTAGATACAAGGGGAGAAAAAAAGTTTTATAAAATATGTGAACGTAAGTGTCACACGCAGCTGCAGGTGCATCGGAGTGCATACTGTCGCGTTTTCTACTCACCGGGATGGCGCGGAGAGACTCCTCTCGTCCTTTCTTTTATCACCGCGCGACGGATATCCACGCGACGGTGATCCCGAATTTTTCCCCGCGTAGTTTTATCGCCCACGAAATTTATCTTTTATCGGGATAATCCACGGTAAGAGGTGGGCGTGACTGTCGCAGGCGCGTGGATTGATAACAGTGTCGATACCGCGGTAGAAAGTTTTCTCGGCACCCCTCTCTCGTTCTCTCTCTCTCTCTCTCTCTCTCTCTCTCTCTCTCTTCGTCCGACGTCGAAGTCTCGCCGTCAAGGCACACAACAGCAACCGGCATTATTGACAACCGGCGTCGCGATGGATGATGGAAAATACAACCGCGAAACTGGAAATATCGCGTTGCGCTCGGGCATGTGAGATTTTCGAATTTGCGGGAAGAGACGTTACATGCGTTTCGCATTGCACAGTGAAACCGACTATCGTCAGGGGATCGTCTCACAGTTATATTTGAAACGTATTTGGCGTATTCGGAGTAAACGAGCGTACGCTCGATTTTAGTACTGAGTACCGGTGCGCGTTTTGTAAATAAATA